TGGTTTTATCTTGCGAATTAAGATAACAATATAAGCTGAAAGCAAGAATACCTGAAGAATCCATTGAAATCCCCCAAACTAGAGAGAAGCAGACATGAGATACTGATGATGATGATGATTCCTGCCTAACCAAACACATGTTCTGTGGCTGAGAGTTTGAAATGTAACTACATTATTTTGCAGTAACAATGCATAGGTGGTACTCACCATTCTGCAAGAAGAAGCCATAAGCAATCAAATCAGTTTGATATTTTTCCCCTTTTCTCCACTCTGTTATGACCTTCCACATTCACTCAGTACCCACACAGAGTTCTTCAAATTTTAAAACCAATACAAATGTAGGTGTCTAACAGTCTACACCCATCACTGAGCTACAGCTACCTCAGATGGGGGGGGGGTCAAAGGATAATAGAAGCTCTCTCCCCCTTTTGGAAATGTTTCAGAGTAATAAAGTAAACCGCACTGCTGCTTTAGACAATCACAGTACATACAAAATTATCTATGCTCATTTCAAATGAGCAAACATGTCAAACAAACAAACAAAAAGGATCAGTATCTGTTACCAGGCTAAACCCACACCTTCCACTTTCTAAGGTGATTAGACACTGCTTGTTATTAAAATTAATTTCTCATGCGCTACTTAATTGGTTAGTTTTCCAACTGATGAAGTTCTGCATGAATATAATTGTTTCCTAATGAACAAAGCAGGTAACAGCTTCTAAAAACTTCCAGAAAGAATCCAGTACAGGATCTGTACAAAAGAAACAGGCTGGGGTTTTTGTTTTACCAAGCCTAAAACCTTTCCTATTTTACCTGTCAGAATACACATTCACTCACTTATTTATTCTCTCGGAAAGTAAATTATTTCCTTATAATACGGTGGGATGTTTCCCTTATCTCTTCATTAGCATCAGCTTACGGAAATGGAGTTACACACAATCTTTCTAAGCACTGCAGGAGTGTCCTGCAGGTACAGAGACAACCATTGTGTGCATTCCTCAGTGATCAAAAGCTCTTTAAGGCAGGTTCCAAAGCTGGAGCTTCAGCATTGCAAAAATGAGTGTCTGGTTAGTCACTGAGATAAAAATGCATTATTCTGCTAGTCTCATTTTTGCTGTATATAACAACCTGGCCACAGAACGCACTGCCTTTTGAGAACTCACGTCACAAGATGGGATCAAAGGATGTCACAGCATGCAATGTTGTGACATATTGCACACAACAGCAATACTCTCAGTCAAAAAGAAAAAATTCATAATGTAACAATCTTGAGTACCGTCTACTTCAGCAACAGTATTAAAGTGGACAGGGAATGGCCCATGGAAAGACAAATGCCTCATTGCACCCATTTGAAAAAGGTACCACACCCAGATCAGTAAGCAAGGAGGCAAAAAACCACAGTTGGGCAGTAAAGCATAAAGATATAATAAAATACTGTTTGAATCTCATAAAGATAATATACTCCCTAATTAGTAGAAAACATGAGGGCTGTTTTGTTAAGTATTCATGTTCCTCTTCTACACAGATATAAATGGCTTTTACGGTGTCTGTCCTCTGGAAGTGAATCATAGATGTTGTCACCGAAAGCGTTCAGTACTGGCTCTGCATGCAGACACACACGCAGCTTATACGTCATCCCCTGCAACCTACACAAAGGTGATCCCAAGCATAACTATTGTTTCTTATAACTGTGCAGTGGTAAAGTACTGAAAACTGCAGTTTTCCTCTGCAATTTTGCCAGATGTAGTTTACACAAAAGTTACTATATCAGAACATCATCTCAAGCCAGGCTACTGGTAGTCAGAATTACAGAAGATGTGAATGGGTGGGCTATTAAAGTCTACAGTTTATCAGTATGAGCTTGCTCCTTTGCCTTCTTACAATGCCTTTTACAAAGGCCAATACCTCACAAATTGCACATTGCCCCTTATCTTTTCATCTTCTACTGCAACCTCCACCTCAACACATTTGTCTGCTCCTCGCTGCAATAATGCCTCATGTAAAATATGCCAGACATATCAATTGACAGTTTGGCTGTGGTTGAGCTGAGGCACCAGAATTTAAAACCTAACAGGAAGGAGCTGCTTTAAGAGATGAACACATTTAGTGTCCTCATTGCTTGGAATAAAATAGTTTGATACCTCATCTGGTACAAAGAGAAAGCACTATTGAAACTCTGAAATTTCTCAAGAGGGAAAAAAGACCAAGAACAGCATTTTTCAAGCCATTTGTCTTGGTGCCACCATAACACTGTTCAAAGACAAAACCAAAATACAGGGATTGGCAGAGATACTGACAATAGGAGAGCATCAGACTCAGGAGATTGCTCAGAACTAACTTATCTAGCACAGGCATTAATATCTGTTATTTAGCCCTTTAATTCCACTTGAGTCAATGCCAATTTTGCATTGTCCTCAGGTCTTGTCATCACAATCAGAATTGCTGCCAAAAAAAATCTTTTTCAAGCATAACCCTTGAACTGTAAATATCCATTGTAAATGAATCTTCTGATTCCTTGAAACTGAAGTGCCTTCTCCACTCTCAATATTTGAGATTGCCTCCTACCTGCCAATTTAGCATGGTCCTCAGGTCTTGTCATCACAATCTCTGGTATCAGAATTGCTGCCAAAAAAAATCTTGTTCAAGCATAACCCTTGAACTGTAAATATCCATTGTAAATGAATCTTCTGATTCCTTGAAACTGAAGTGCCTTCTCCACTCTCAATATTTGAGATTGCCTCCTACCATCTATGAAAGATTTCTAACCACATTCCCCCATAACTGTATTCAACGGTAAGCTACTGTTCCAGACATGCACATTTTTGCAACATGCCATTTTGGTCGTTTGTTACTATAGAACAGAATCACTTATCATTTTCCATCTGTAGAGACTGGGCACCTTAGACACATGCAAGCTGGAGGTATTGTCATTGTTGGCATGAACATGCTCACTAATCACAGCTGATTTCAAATCTAGAGAAAAATCATCTGTACAGGATTCTCAGAGATAGTCATTCAAAGACATACATAGGCATAAAATCCATCATAAAGAAACTACAGGGGGTAAAAGAAAGAATGTCTCTGGCTTTCTACACAACTAGACTACCATTTGACTTTGTGTATAACTACAATATCATTTACAGGAAAGCTTATTGCACCAAGTCAGAAAATCTCAGAAATAATGTTTTGTCACCTACATCTGCCATCTTCTCCCTGACTAGGACCAAATATCTCAAATTTTGACACTACAGTCAACAATCTTTAAGCCTTAAAAAGATTATACCCATTTAGTTCCTGAAGTGCTTTTTAAAGGAAGTTCAGCCTACCATGACATACAATGGCTTCTCTATGTTAAAAAGGACAGCTAAGCGTTCAATTAGAGATTTTACGCCCTCCCCACAATTAAGGTCTACTGTTATGACAATCTCAAGAAAGAACAATTGTATTCCCTACTTCATCTGCATGCTACGAAACCACTGACCCTGCTGTTCAGGAGAGAAGACTTCTATTAGTCTTTCTTCTACAGCCCGCTGCCAGAAAAAAAGTAATGTTTTTGTTCTACAGTGAATTTACAGGGTAACCTCTGATCACCTGGAACAAACACCCTTTGAACTGGTACTACTTCCTGTTTGTGTGATACATATTTTCATGTTCTGTAAGTTGCCTATGCTAAAGACAGTATACCAAAATCACTTATTGACAACACCAGAATACTGTATACCAGTGCAAGGCAGGGGGAGGGAGGGAAGAGGTACTATGGAAAATCTCATAACTTTTTAAAAAGTTACATAGATACGTACAGTTATATGTAAAGTTACATACATATTTACAATTTTGGCAATCTAAAACTAGAATCATCTTCCTTCATAGAACTGTGCTTTGAGTATCTCTTCAAACTAGCCATCATACAAGCATGATGGATGGAATAGATCCCATCTGACTTTTTACAAAGGTTTTCATGCTGACACTGTAACTCAAACTCACAGAAAATTTATTTTCAGAGTAGCCTCAGACTTGGCAGTCTTGATATGTACTTACTAATGTTTTTCTTTTAAGAACTTACTCGTGCGAGGGAAGCCTGTGGTATAGATCCTACACAACTGAATTCTTTTCTCAAACATCAGTGACAAATCCAAAGGAACAACTGCAGCACAGGGATGAGATTGTTAATTGCACCATAATACTGTTTCCTTAGTAGAGCAACTCCCATAACTATTTCATAACTCTCCTGTTAGAGCCCTCATACCTGAAATGCATCTGCCTACATCTCTCACCTATTATTCTTAGTACATCAAAGTCAGAGACAAAGTTTGGATAAGCAATCTTGTCTTTTTCAGATCCCTTCTGTCACCCTCAAGAGCAAACAGATGGCTAACTACGATGAGTGGGATCTATCCATATAGAAATTCAAAGAAAACAAAGAACTATTCACTTTACAGTCACTGCTGCTCTTTGAGCTGTTCTGTGCATGAGGATGTCAGCTTGCCTTACACTTCCACTGGCAGAGTACAGCTCTGGTCTTACCTGATCTCTGAATGGCAGCTGGGAGCACTTCATAGTTCAGGATAAAGGCAGAAGCTATACATGCCTCTCTGTGGCCCTTCATGAATGTAAAATTACTCCAGGCTTCTACACAAAAGCTACAGGCACACACATCCTGACCTACACATAGCAGCTTGAAGAGCAAGTTAGCTGTACTGCTTCCTAGTACACAACTGCCTTTTTAACAATCCTGAAGCGAGTGATTAGCTTTATTTAATTCAACTATATGTTACTCATATTTACATAAACAAAAAAAATCATATTTTCTGTGTACAATGTTCCTCTTCGTGCTTCAAAAACATTACAGAGGTTCATATCAACAAATGGCAACAGAATCAATGACAAATGCAAAATACTTCAGAATAACATTTCATCGAAAGACCAGCAGCTTAGTAATGCACAGCACATCCAAAATAGGAAACATTCTAAATGAGAAAGAGAAAAAAGATTTCCATTACCTTAGAAGTCCTTATATCCCAAGCTTTAACTTCCGGGCTGAACCCTCCACAGATGAAAATATTTGACTCTGTAGGGTGGAACTTCAGCGTGCTGATCCTAAATTCATTTTTGCTGCTAAATATCTGCTTCCCTAAAATAAAGTGAGAAGTGGAGATTAAAATTTGAGCAGAAAATGAAGTATGTTACTCATTTCAACCTAGTTTGAAAAATATCAAGGTTGTCAAAGGTGAATATGTTTATATTAACACATTTGAAGTATCTGGGGCTACTCTGATTTACTGAAAATATAAGACTGAACTCACTAATTTCTATCCACGTGAAATTGCTCCTGCTCATGGGCCTCTGCACCACTGACTGCTTCCTACTGAAAGGAGAGAACAAGTGGTTTCACACACTAAGAAGAGGAGCTCCACTGAGGTCCCAGTTCAGTCGACATGCAGGACTAAATCTACAAATCTAATGGTTGAAGATAATCCATAGTCTTTCTTCCAGTGGGATAAAAATAACTAGAACAAAATATTGTCTGTACAGAAATACCACGTCCCAAACTATACTACAACTCTTGAGTTGTTTACTTATCTTTCTGTGAAGGTAGGAGTGAAGCTTCATCTTGAAAGTAGGAAATAATTTGCATACCATCATATGAAGGCAATAGCTGTTCCCATGGATACACTATTCCCAACATTTAATTGTGTACACTAATCTCCGCAGGATCCTGTGGTTAGTATCAATTGGATTGTTGACACTTTCGAAGGCAACAGAATGCAGCTAGGTTAATTTATAGGACTTTTCCACAGTCCGCTGCTTCTTTTCATCCTAACAAATTCATGGTATTAATGTACATTCACTGAAATATAATCTTTGGAACAGGAGCATAGACCAAGATAAATACATAAAGCACAATTTCAGCTGTGCTTTATATTCTACATATCACATATAAAGATCTACATTAAATAAAGTTACTGCTTTAAGCCACAGTGAAGAAGGTACTGCAGAAGTAAAAAAAAAAAAAAACCACCTTAAAATACTATGACAAAAGCTCCTTAAAATATTAATTAATCTACATTTTCAGCAAGTGAGAGTTGTCTTAAGATAGGCTTTCTTAAAGAACTGAAAATACTTTGAGCTAAAAACATTAGTGACGGATGTAAATACTGTTAGGTGAACAATACTGAAAATCATTCATGTAGATTTTTTTTATGCTTCTTTCATGATTTGGAGACAATTTATTTGATTTCATCATCAGTTCCATTTTCCCCATCTGCTGAACTCAACTTACACAGTCAAGAGGCTAAGACTTGTCAAATTATTTATTTATTCGTTTTAAAGAAGAGAACAGAGAGATTTTAACTTCATCATACGTGCTCTTCAAGCTAGCAGGGGCAGAGAAAATGTATTGCAGGAAGCATAAGGGAGGGTTGAGTGTTGTTCTACGTGAACTCTGGTTTCTGTAGGGTTTTTTTGTTCTTTTTAAAAAGATTCTCCACCGATTACCCATGCAAGATCTAAAGGGCTTCTATGCCACTGCTGAGTGAAAGCTTTACTTTAGTCCTTAAGTTCCTTCCCCAAAAAGAGAAAAAAGTCATAAGGGTAGCAGAGGTTCTCTCTACAAGTCATATGCAACAGTGACCATCTCTCACCATGGGAGCTTTCAGTACCCCAACAGCTACAGAAGGAAAAAAAAAAGACTCCACAGGGAAGGAAGAAAGTATTAAAATCATCAGTTATAGGAGCAACAAGATATTGCTCTCATGTATACCACTACCAGGCATCATTTGCAGGCTTCAGAAAAGCCACATACACATGCATCTTACTTTCATCCACAGCACTTGAGAAAATACTGAATTTCCCCATGGAGGTTCACGTCAGTTTAATAGCACTTTGCTCCCAAAGGAATTTGGTTCCTACTAGTACCTAGTTTAATAAACACTCGATGTTTTCTCCAGAAACTAAAATTCTCTAATTCCCTACTCCATCTCCCCCTGTTTTAAGATAGAAGATAGACATGGGCACTGCGTTTGCCATTTTCTTGTCTTCTAGAGTCTGTTATTTATCCAAAAGCTCTCATAGGACTGAGATCATTACAGTCCAATTCGATGAATACTACATTACAGTGTAGTACTAAATAAAATTAATGCAAACAACTTGAGCATCTTGTTCACCTCTATATTCTTTAACCCCCTTCCTTTTCCTATTTTAACCCGTTTGATGCAGATATTAACCATGCTAGCTTTTTGACTGGTCTGAGGAGTAATCAGCATACATCAATCTTAAAAGCACAGGCTCTCCAATTAATACTTTGAAATACAACTCTCTTTCTCATTCTTTCACCACCACTCCCAAGTGAAATTCAATCAAATGTCTCTTTTTGGAAGCTCAGTAAACAGTGTTCTGAAGAGTCTGGTGTTATTAGATGATATGTGGATTTCATTCTACTGCCATGTCACAGAAAAGGAGAAAAAGGCTGGAATGTAGAAAAGAAGAGCATGGGAGCAAAGAAGCAGCAGATAATATACTCAAAAGGGGAGGATCACAACAGTACAGCAAGTAAACCCTCTTATTGCTAGAACTGAAATTTATGCACAGTACACAGAATCCAAATTGGACTGCTTGCCATACAAACATGCCTGAACCCAGCAAAATGAACTTTCCTAACATTTATATGAATACATGCCTTAAACCCTTCCCTTTTAGGTATTAGGACTGCAGGGCTGAAGTGCTGAGGCACATTCTCTCCACAGTTATGAAGCCTCTAGCACCGTAAATCTTTCAGAACCTCAGAAACTTAGGAAAAATATCCGAGTGATGGAACAGATCACTGTGGAAGATGATGTGGGACAAAATAGCTCATGCAATTCAGTACGTTAAAACAATGAACTCAACTCTTAGTCCCTTTCTGTACAAACTTTATTTAGTGTGTTTTACTACTATGAGCAGAATTTGCTGCTTCCCATGGTGTAACTGTGCTGCGACAGAACCTAGCCCCATGGCTTGAGAAATCCAGCTTCAGTGTTTGCTGGAGACCCTGCTCCACCTTTCTGGAAGTCGGTATTTACAGTTACGTATATTTTTGTCTACAATTATTAAGTTTATTAACATAAACATAACTTTTGGGGGCCTTATTTTATATATTGCAAAAGATGTCCTTTGAGGAGAAGTCTCCCTTATCCATAATAGAGTACAATGGGTGTAAATCAGTAAGCTTGTATATACCTTTATTGTGTATGTATTTATTGTATTTTAGTTCCTAAAGGCAGCATAAAAAAAATTCAACCAACTCATAGGCTGTAGAAAATTACATATTCTGAAAATCTATTTGGCTAATTGAGGCAAAATCCATACCACAGACCATTTTCCTGTATGAGAGGTTGTTATTCCAAAGCAGAAAGCAAATGTTTCTCTCAATCTTTAATTTTCACAATTTCAGTAACAATACCTACTACATCTTTGCAGTGTGTTTTATATTCTTAAAGTGCTTTAATTCAAGTCTTCATTCATTAAAGGCTCACCAGTAACATACACAGTATGAAAAAAAAAACTTTAAAAAGATCTTGAACATATGTTTCTGCTCCTTTATGCTGCAGCCTACTGTGAAACTGCTCAACTATGAAATCAGATATTTTAAAGGCTATTTAACATTGTGAATTTTTCACAGAACATCAGCACAGCTATTGAGCACAGGATGCTTCTGTAACTGTGTTTAGTGGTCCTCAGGTTCACGCCCCTACCTGCATAATCCAAAAACATCCACTTCCTTACACTAATCTGTAAAGAAAAGTGAAGCCTAAGATTTACAAGTACATGAGAGTAATCTTGCTAAGCAGAACAGATTTTCTTACTGTGTTTACAAAAAGACACAAGACAATATATTAAAAAAAAACCTCATTACAGTCACAAACTCTCTCATGCACAATAGTGAGAAGAAAATTAGATTGATCAGACATAATTTGTTCTTAACAAATCAATGTTGGCTGTTACTTATCCATTTTATCTTGGCGTGCTTACAAATTGCTTTATTATTTTTCCAAGAACTAAAGTTATACTGACTGTATGTGTTTCCTAATTTTTTCCCCTACATAGTCACAAGTTTCTGGTATGCAAAGGTGCTTGAAATAGTAAATCATTTTATCTTTTACCCTTTAAAATGTCCCCAAAATAAACATTTTTCTCGCTTCTTATTTCGAGGACTTTACAGTAGTGAGTATAAAAAGTAAAATGCTGTTACCTCCTAGCTGGAGAATGACCACTAAACTATGTTGAACAAATGACTTAAAACTGCTGAATTTTGGGGGGAGTCTTGAGACGTCACATCAAAGATGCCTGTAGGCATTCAAAAGAAAAAAATAAAAAAAAAGAAAAATAAAAAAAAATCAATCAACTGGGCTTTTTTCTGAGGTGTCATATAAAACCTTCATGCATATTAAATCAACATACTATCTACATAGTACTGGGAGAGAAGGGGAGGAATAGGAGAAGAAAGTCACAGCTCTCCTGAGGTGATGTTTATGTATGAGCACTAAAACTCCTATGTGAACAAATACAATTACAATAACAACAATAATGTTATATCTATAGGACTACCAAATTGGAATATAAAAGAAAACACAGAAAAGCAAATTTGGACCATCCTCTTGGAGGTACAAAATGTTCCATTAAGGAACTCTCAAAATAATGTAAAATAAAACAGGTTAAAAAAAAACAAACCAGATTTAAGTGACCACTTTATATATAATCTGAACTTTCCTTGAAAACCAAGAGCTTAATTTCAGTATCCTGGCCATGGTAATGTGAAAACTTTCAAAATAATGGGGAATTTAAATTCTCCATTATAACTCTGAGGACGTTATGTTTGAAATTAAACTCAGTCTATGAACTAAAATACAACTGCAGCATTTGGCAACATAGGAAATGTGCCAAAATTTCTTGGAACATTGCCTCTGTCATAATATTAAAGAAATGAAAAGTATCTACAATATGCAAATAGTATCAACCCAGCCAATGTTCTGCCTATGCTATTGTACCAATTCATTTGTGACTAATGAAAAATCCACTGATGAATAAAACATATATTCCAAAAATAAAATAGTTATAAATAAATTTTTAAAATACAGTTACCCTTCTAAAGTTGGT